ATGATTATAATTCTTATAAGAACAATAATTTAGTTGTGTTTTGGATCAAAGTTTCGATAAAAAATTTATAGCTTTAAAAATGATAGTGATAGTAAAGTTTATTATGACTATTAAATTTTATGATGATTATGACAAGGATATTCATGAATGTAATAACATTTATAATGATGCATGATGATTGTTTTTCTTATGGACGAACGAATGAATACTCATATTTATAATAAACATGATAAGAACGACACTTAGCTCTGATACAAAAATTTTCGACATAATATTATTAATGCTTATAACGATAAAAGTGGATGATTATACCTGAATGATTCCTCGGAATAATCTTGATGATGATTAGAAGGATGATTAGATGAACGGTTTTGGATAATTTGGATAGACGCTCTGCTATTTAGAAATAGAACAGCTATTTCAACAGAGGAAGAACTTTGAGATTAACTCAAATCTTAAAACTCTCAAACTTAACTTGTTTATTTCATATGAGAAAATGCCCTATTTATAGGCTCAAGGGAACCGATTACATAATTGAATTGCAATTGTATGATTGCAATACGACAAACATATTTACAATATAGCCCCTAGACTATTGACGGTTACAGACTTTATAACACATCTTACAAAGTATACATCATATTCGATAAATGATATATAACCTATCAACACATGACACTTATTCTACCGATAGCGACAAATACCAACGAATACAAAAAAAAAAATACAAATTATAAAATACATCCCTCCACAACGCAAAGATGTGTGTCTTCAATAATGTTTTCAACAATAATTGAGTAATGCGTCATTACGTACGTCATTCCTCCCGAAGTGGTAGAAGAAATGAGAGGATTACATGATTGGTGTAGTTGTGGTTTTGATGGTGGTGACAATAGTGGTGTTGTGGTGGTTGTGATGTTGGTAGAGATTAATGGCTTGTGTGATTGGTAGTAAGTGGTTTATGTTGTGGATGTTACCCTTGAAAGTACTGTGCCTTTGAATGTTGCCCATGAAAGTACATTGCCTTTTACAATACTTTTCCTTAGATAGTTTCTCCTGAAAGTAGATTCCATATTTTGCTAGTTGTTGTGAAAGTACATTATCTTAGAAGACGTGTTAAGTTAAAAAAAATGTTACAATTTTGGTCCATGTAAAACACCCTAAAATTAGGGTTTCATACACATTAAGTACGCTAAGCGTAACCCTTGTACGCCCAACGTATGAGGCCTCGCAATCCCGACTGCCATCTCACTTAGTACGCTAAACATACCATGTGGTACGTCATGCGTACTACTCCAAGGGCTAAAATGCAACATTTTCAAAATAAAAGGGCAATAAGGAACATACCAGAAATCCAAGTGTTAAATTTATATAGGGTGGGTTATAAATGAAGCAGGTCGGTCAACATTTTTAGTTTGTATAAAATGTACGGAGCTTTATAAATGATATTGAGCATCGATCAACATTTTTAGTTTCTATAAAATGTAGGGAGCTTGGCACTAACAATTACTTAGGAGTTAGATGCTCTTGAGTATATAATATCTAACCCTTTGGCTGCTAATCTTCACGAAAACGAGGCCAAAACATCGTCAATAGACGCCCCACCCCCGTGTCCCCTTGCCCCGACGTCGTGTGTGTCCAAAAATTATGCATCCTTATGGAAATCAATGTCTGTTACTGCCACCAAGCTCTTTGTGCAATATGTATATATAGGGGGTACCATGGGGTCTCATTCGCATAGGTGCCCGTCAAGGGTGATGGGCAGCCAAGAATCATGAAGCTGTATCGAGCACCAACAAGCCAAGCCAAGCCAAGCCCCATGACCCATGAAAGAGGCCACCCCCAACATGTTGCCTTGATTTCTAGAACGATGACCTGAAAAATAGCCCTATTGACTTGATTTTCCTCGACGTCGTACGCAAAAACTAGCCTCGTTGGCTTGATTTTCCTCGACGTGGTACACATACTAAAAATTATGCATCCTCAGGGAAATCGATGTCTGTTGTGTGGGCGGGGTTGCTTCGTACATTGCAACATCATAAGAATTGCCTTTTCTAAGGTACAATTGGTGCCCATGCCTAGTTTGATTATAACGATAAAAGTGGATGATTATACCAGAATGATGCGTCGGAATAGTCTTGATGATGATTAGATGAATGGTTTTGGAAAATTTGGATATACGCTCTGCTATTCCGAAATAGAACAATTATTTCAATAGAGGAAGAACTTCGAGATCAACTCAAGTCTTAAAACACTCAAACTTAACTTGTTTATTTCATATGGGCAAAGGCCCTATGTATAGGCTTAAGGGAGCCGATTACATAATTGAATTGCAATCGTATGATTGCAATACAACAACAAACATATTTACAATATTGTCTCTAGACTATTGAGGGTTATACACTTTATCTCACATCTTACAAACTATACGTTATATTCGATAGATGACATATAACCTATCGACACATGACACTTATTATACTAATAACGATAAATACCAACTAATACAAATAAAATACAAATTATAAAATACATATTTTTTATGTTTTTTTTCCTCGTACCTGCTTCCGCGCAAAGCAGGGGGTGGGGGGAGGGGAGCAAGCGGGACCGGAATTGCGTAACTACAAAAGTAAAGGGGAAAAATGAAAATATGCAAAATTCATGCGGCCAAAGTATGAAAACAAAAAGTGGAGAGTCGAACATGGCAATATATTACGGGAGGAGTAATCTGCAAATTTTGTATTAAGTACCGACTATTTTTATATTTTTTTTAAAAAATGGACCGTTTCTGCAAAAAAATGCATAAGGAGTTTTTTTTGTTAATTACAAGGATAATTTTTGTAATTTCTTTTCTACACAAGGGTTAAATCTGCCAATATACAATGATATTAAACATAAGGATTGTTTTATATATATATATATATATATATATATATATATATATATATATATATATATATATATATATATATATATATATATATATATATATATATATATATAAAGTACACACACCAAACATATACCTTTCTCTAAATTACAAAATTATAAGGACTTCTAGTATTAAAAGGTTATGGCAAAAATTTTAAAAAGTAAATTATAAGAATGGCCCTTATGGTTTGGTGAATATTGTTTGGTGTAATCTGTAAGTTTGTGTGTTTGGTTTGATTGGTCTGTAAATTTTTTTTAATTTAGATCCTTATAATATATTTTGATTGAATTTACTATATTATCCTTAATGATATTCTTTAATTTTAACTAACTTTCCTTGGTATTATTTTCTTCTTTTTCTTTTTATCCATACATATTATTTACAAACTTTTGACATTTTTAACAAACGGAATCATCGAGACTAAGATTTTAAACGTTTTTATATATTATTTTAGAAAACACGTTATTGTATATTACTAGTCAATAATTTAAGGACCGTTTTTGTAAAATACTTACCGTAGGTGTATAAGTCATTCGTGTCACTTCAAAATTCAAGGATCGCACCACTACCCCTCCTAACCCCTACCAACTCAAGATTAGATGAATATTTATACAATAAACTGATAAAGATTATTGGCAACAAATTAGGCGAGATTTATACAACGAACTATTACACATCCTCGATTTACGGTTAATATTTTAACGAAAGAGTCACTCACTCGTTGAATTTCGCTTGAGCGAGATTTGTGAGATCTAAATATTAACTGATTGCGCCATATATTACTTTTCTCAATGCTAACATAGTATTAGCAAAGAAAGTTCTACAACATGACCCCCAAGACATATCAAATCATGTATCTCTTGTGGTCACTCATGTTTAGGGTATCAATTATGTAATTGTTGATTTACAAGGAGCATATTCAATGCTTATTATTTTGTCATATTGGGGTACGTACAAATTGTTCTTGTTGGTGGTAAAAATTATGTAATTGTTGATTTACAAGTAGCATATTCAATGAAGCTATACAAATGACATTTGAAATATAATTTGACGATTTTGAAATGGTTTTGTAGTGAAAATGAAAAGGGCATCCATACAAATGAACTTGCACCGAAGCTGAAACTTTCTCATGACAGAATCACGTAAGAATTCGTATTATTTGTTATTGGTTTTGATTTATAATATCCCTCATGATTTTCTTAATATAAAAGGGGCATAAAGTCGACGCATATTTGCTAAAAAAGGACCCATACATATATTAGTTGCTGTCGAGGGCAATGTCAGTGATGATGTGGCTTAGTGTTTCACATGTGGCTTTCTTTTTTGGTTTTTGATTTTTCAAAACCATCAATTGTGAGAATATGATGACATTAAAAAATAAAAAAAATAAAAAAAAATCTTAAGAGATCTTCAATGGATGAATGAGCGTGGGACGGAACCGGTATCGTTTCCGATTTTCTGAATATTGGATTTGTTCGAAAGTTAATTTCAAGTATCGAGCTGAATTGAAATTATCGGTACCGGTACCGGGAATGACACATGTGTTCGGTACTAATACTGATACCAATGGTACCGAATGTCAACTGGATTGCCACTTCACAAATGTTATCCAACGATCCCTTTAATTTTATGCTAAAGGTTTTTGGAACAAATAAAAATGAACTTTATGCCCTAGAATATCAAAAAAATGATAATACTGATCTTGTAAACCAAAATCGAATAGTTTGGAGGTCCCACTAAAGGAACAATAGAAAAACAAAAACTTGAATAGAAAATACAATACATAATCAAAAGATTGTGAAAATCCAAGAAGAGAATTTGATACATGTCCACTTAGAATGAAAGCTGACGTGATGAGATTGTGAAAATCCAAGAAGAGAATTTGATATTATTTTTAAATTATTACATGTATGTTTTGGATTAATATTTAAAGCTAACGTAATAGGCTTAAAAAGGATAAAAGAAAAGAGAAAATACACCACAAATTTTATGTAAGCTGAAGTAGTAATAAATAAGAAATTAAAAGCAAAAAGTCTTATATACCCTCGTATCTTTGGAAGGTTTAGATTCAATAGTAAGGGCAAGATACGTCATTTGGACCAACAAATCTTCCACGAACAGCAAGTTCCATGAACGCAGCCAATTCTTTACACGACCGGAGTTCCGTCTCACACCGCAAGAACGGCGGAAAGAATAACCAGAAGCTGGTGGCGATCACCACACCCAACGCCAGCGGCGCGGAAACCACCGGCGGCAGACGGAATCTTCCACCCACCGCCCTTTTAACCACCAACTCCAGACTCACCAACACGCCGTGAATCACGAAGAACCATGTGACTTCCCATGTGGGTTTCAGTCGTCCAAGGTAATAAAATATTAACTCGTGCATCAAACCGGAGACGATAAACGTGGCCGTTACCGCCGGAAGCGAAGCTAAATCTCTCGATAGAAACCTACCGGAAATTGATCGGACGGGAAGGTACACCGTTGGATGTAGTATACCTGTAACCATTAGATTCCATCTCTTTCCCCAAAAATCTTGTAGAGATGTAGCCAGATACGGCTCATCAAACTGTGGTTCGAGCTCGAAACCAACAATTGCTCGAGCTAAATACGCAACCATGGCTAAACCCACATCTAAAACCACATAAATATGAACACAAAACAGAGCCATTTTCATCAGAGGGTGTAGCTTGTCTCCATATTCATAAATCTTCAGCAACAAAACAAGCACCATAAACTTGACGGCGTAATTGATCGGCGATTTCTTTCCCCTTTTCGAAGCTCCACCTACTTGAGATTCGTCGGATTTTCCATCAACTTGAGACTCGTCAGATTTTCCATTAACTTGAGTCGAGGTCTTCATATTTTGGGATTTATCGCTGATTTTGATCGGGACACAAGCAGTGATGATGAATTTGAACAAAGGGAGGGGTGGATTTGAGAACAAAGGACCTTTATCAAACGCAAACAACATCAATTTGAAGTTTGCAAGCCAGGTTACGAAGAAAGAGGTAGGACCGGTGAGATTAACAGCAGTAAGGAGGAGAGGGAGGTAGATGAAGATGCAGAAGACAGGGATGAATGCTAAAAGACGTGTTGTACCTGGTGCTATAACTTTACTGATTTTGCGGCAGAAAAGGAGAGATGCCAGGACTGTTGTCCATACAAATATGAAGTTTTTCATCTCTCCCTCCATTGTTGAGTTGAGTTGAGTTCTTCTCCTTTCTCAAGATCTTCAATATTTAGAGGCTTTGTGGATGAAGATTTTCTATTTATTTGAACTTTAAATAAACACTTGTCTATCCAGAAAAATTATAACCCCTACTTGCTGCAGCTCAATAGATTTTCTCTCAAGAACTAACGGAAAACGACTTGAGGTATTCTCATTTGGTTTTTATTTTTTTTAGTCAATATACCATAGAACTTGTTATTTGTATTCATCGTAAGCATTTTGACTGGCTTTTGACCTGTGTGATAGTCAATCAAAGGGTTATACTCAACACAAATAATAAGTTTAATGGTATATTCAAAAAAAAAGGACCAAATGAAAACAAACTCAACAGTTGGTTACCCTTTTGAGTCCATTTCCCTTTACTCGTTATAGTAAATCATATGTCATCTCCTGCTGATATTAATGATTTTATGAAATTCATTATTGATTCTCTTCAAAACAAAACTCACGAAAAATCATTATTCATACATATATAACTTTGTAATGCACTTGAATATTTATTAGATGAATCTTGATTAAACAGATGCATTTCATGACTACATTTACATTTCCAATCAAATGATTTATCATATCATGGATTCTAGACAAGTCTACAAACGAATAGAATCACAAGTGCTGTGATTTTTTAGTTTGCTTAGCTTTAAGATCGAATTCATTGGATAAGATACAACATCAATATGTACATTATAATGCAGTTTTTGCAGACACATCACCATAATATACCTTGAGGTAAACATTTATGCTGATAAATACACCTCTCTTACACAGTAATATCCTTTTGTAGAGAGGTGTTGACAGTTAACCACAATAAGCATTGCATAGACCATGTAACGAAGTTACTCCTTCGAAACGCTCTTCATATATGTTATGGCCAAAGAAGGTTGCACTCTTTGATAATTTTGCAACTTTAATTTCTTTTAACTTTTCAGAAAAATGATTCAGGAAGGTAACCAACTGTTGAGTTTGTTCTCATTTGGTCCTTTTTTGTACTCAATATACCATCAAACTTGTTGTTTGTGTTCACCATAACCATTTGACCGACTATCACATATCAAAAGCCGATCAACAGGGTTATAGTGAACACAAACAACAAGTTCGATGGTATATTGAGTAAAAAAAAAGGAAATTGACCAAATAAAAACAAACACAACAGTTAGTTACCCTCAAGAGTCATTTTCCCATAATTAACTATCTGAGAGTGTGGTGGTTTTTTTTTTTTTTTTGTCAATAGGGATGCTACATACGATTTTATTACTTTTGCAAAATTTTGTCTATCATCACAGTACCAACTTTTTTTAATTGAAAAAAAATATAAAAATTACTATTTATAATACTATTAATTTTTTGTTCCCTTATACACACTTCTTCCATGTCATTAGTTGATTTTTCTCTTTTGTTTTTTTTTTCAATCTTTCAGATTCCACCACCATTGTAACCACTGAAAGTGAGATTAGTGTACTCCACCGCTTCATTTACCTTGGTTACATCTTCAGTCATAAATCCTTTGATTCAAAGTTGGCAAAGGGGTGCACAATCGATCGTCTCCAGCGTGTCCGTCCATCAATTGTCCTATCATTGCCAATTGCGACGCCCCTCAAAATCATCGCCATAGCCGATTCCAACCACCGTCGTCTGGGTTATCACCAATGCCTAAACCGACGACTCTTTATTTTTTCTAATCCATTGGTTTTTTTATTGTTTCGGTGAGGATTTCTAGATACAATACAAAGCATCCGAACAACAATTTCGTGTTTGTTCCCAACAAGCCCTTTGTCTTCATCGGAGCTGCAATACACGACTGCTTCTCTTTCCCTGCTCCACCATCGTTTGTATGGTCCGACTATCTGTATGTGTTGATTTTTTTTCTTTGCTCCCTGCTTTTGTGGTTGTTCAGAAGCTAACAAAGAATTGTTGACATCAACATTCCATACATGTAACATCATGTTTACCCTTCATAAATGCATTTTGACGTATTTAGTCTTTCCTACCTGAGTAACTTCGTTTCAGTTTGCAACCTTATGCCTCATATAGGAAAACGAAGTTTGTTATTCAAATAAGGGAGAATCAGGACATTGCATTGAAGAGTGTCGAGACACCACCATGAACAAGGTGCTTCAAACTTCATTATTCTGATTACATTAACTGAAACTACTTGATAAAAACTACTTCATTGGTATACCAGGAATGTACTATAGAGAAAAGTGAGAAAAAAGTAGAAATAGAGGAAGAGAAAGGCAAAATGAAGAAGAAAGAGATTAAAGTATTAGGAGAAGGAGCAGCAGACGTGAGAATTGGTTAGCCAATACATGAAAGATTTTGTTATCGGTCATTTTAGTTTGAATTTTCTAACAACTTGCATATTTAGATGAAGAAAAGATGGAGTTATATGTTTCACTTGACACAAGTGAGGAAATTAGCAACAATGTGCCCAAGAAGGACAAAAAGGTAATAAAAAAACGGACTTCTTAAAAGGTTAAAACTTCGGGTGCTTCTTCTTACTTTATTATATGATTTTATGATTTTTATAATATGTCAATTTACCCATTTAATTGATAAAGGGATGAAATACTCATTAAAAACAATTTGAGCATGCTCAAGATTGACATCAGACAGTTCGTTGCTACCAAACGTTGTAATACATTGCTAGTGTTATAGGAGGCCCCTAGGCGGAATGAGCTTGAATTTGAGTTACACTTGTAATAGAAGAGGCAGGCACCAACGCAGTCACAACCTGCACCAAAGCGGTCCAAGACCGTTGATTCTAGGTCTGGGTGTCAGTGCGGCCGCACTTGTGGGAAGTGCGGCCGCACTTGTGGGAAGTGCGGGAAGGTTTATTCTAGAGTTTGTAGATCCAGTAGTGCGTGTCGCAAGTACGGAAAGGAGGGACACTTTGCGAGGGATTGCTGCCAATCAGCCCCGGTTCAGGATATGAGGATTTGTTACCACTACGATCAGGTTGGTCGCGTGAAGACCAACTGTCCATTGCTCGTTGCCCGACTGATGCAGGCTCCAGCGATGGCTATACTAAGGATTACTGACGGGATTCAGGGTAGAGCATAGCCCCTGAGGGCTCAGGGACGCGCCTTCCCGCTCACAGCCGAGGAGGCCAAGGCAGCACCATATGTGGTGGCTGGTATGGTTCTATTCCTTATCTTGTCTATTATAATTTTTTTATGCTTATATGTTTGTACCTATAATTAGGTATGTTCTTAGTGAACTCCTTACCTGCTCGGGTAATGTTTGAATCGGGGGCGAGTCAGTCTTTTGTCTCGTGATCTTTTAGTAGGGAGTCCGGTTTGCCTTTAGGAGAGCTAGAGCATCCGTTGCGAGTCCCCATCGCCAACGAGCACGGGATTTCTGCTTCTTCAGTTTATTGGGGTTGTGTTTTGGAGATCTTCAGGGTATCCTTCCCGAATGACTTGATTCCAATTCCAATGGGGGATGTATGTGTGATATTGGATATGGATTGGTTGAGTCATTTCAGTGCCATGATCAACTGCGAGGGTCAGCATGTGGTAGTTCGAACCCCAAGTGGAGGAGCACTGATTATCTACGGCGAGGGCACTAGGTTGGGTTCAGGGTTCTGTTTAGCCACCAGGGCTCGATAGTATATTCAGCACGGGTGTGCAGGTTATTTGGCATATGTGGTGGATACACGGGTCAGGGATCACGTCTTGGTTTTAGAGGTTCCGGTCGTCAGAGAGTTTATTGATGTGTTTCTAAAGGAGTTACCCAGAGTGCCTCTGGAGAGGTAGGTCGAGTTCAGGATCAACCTTGTGCCATGTGCGGCCCGTATTGCTAGCGCGTCGCACCAATTAGCACCACCAGAGATGTAGGAGTTGTCATCTCAGTTGCAAGAACTGCAAGGCAAACAGATCATCCGTCCGAGTATTTCTCCGTGGGGAGCGTTGATTCTCTTCTTCAAGAAGAAGGATGGTTTACACCGGATGTGCATTGATTACCGGGAGTTGAACAAGTTGACGGTGAAGAACCTTTATTCATTCCCAAGGATAGAGATCTTTTCGATCAGTTACAGGGAGCATATTGGTTCTCCAAGATAGACATGAGGTCCGGGTACCATCAGGTCAGGATGAGGGAGGAGGATGTGGATAAGACCACGTTCTAGACTCGTTATGGACATTACGAGTTCGTGGTGATGCCATTTGGGCTCACCAATGCGTCGACAGTGTTTATGGACCTGATGAATTAGGTATGCAGACTGATGCTCAACCACTCGATTATTGTGTTTATAGATGACATCTTGGTGTATTCCAAGACCAGGAAGCAACATGAGGAACATCTTCGTTAGCAATTGGGAGTATTGAGGCGACACCGGTTGTATGCCAAGTTCTCAAAATGTGAGTTTTGGTTGCGAGAGGTTTAGTTCCTTGGACATCTCGTTAACCAGTAGGGGATTTTGGTCGATCCGGCCAAGATCGAGGTGGTTATGCAGTGGGAGGTTCCAAAATCTTCCTCATATTTCAAGAGCTTCTTGGGATTTGTAGGCTACTACCGGAGATTCATACAAGATTTATCTAAGATTGCGGTACCCCTCACTCGTCTGGTGAGGAAATGGGTGGATTTCCGGTGGGGCTCTAAGTAGCAAACTGCATTTGAGACTCTGCAACAACGACTCGACGAGGGGCCAGTTTTGACACTCCCTGAGGGAGTTGTGGATTTTGTGGTGTTCTGTGATGCATCGATCACCAGATTAGGATCAGTCCTTATGCAGAGAGGATGGGTGATAGCCTATGCATCGCGACAACTAAATCTACATGAGACAAAATATCCCACACACGATCAGGAGTTGGGAGCGGTAGTATTCGCTCTCAAGATTTGGAGACATTACCTCTATGGGGTCCGTTGTACCATATACATTGACCACAAGAGTTTGAGACACATCATGGATCAGTCGAACCTGAACATGAGGCAGCGCATGTGGCTGGACGTTGTCAAGGATTATGATTGCGATTTCCTTTACCATCCAGGTAAAGCGAATGTGGTTGCGGATTCCCTGAGCTGCAAGTAGGCTTGATCCTATATTCTGGTAGCATGTATGAGGATATCAGTGGATTCTCCACACGTGAGCTTGATCAGGGAAGCTCAGGGGTGAGATCACCAGATTCGTGCAGGATAGTCGGGGATTGTTGACCCATTGCAGTCGGGTATGGGTTCTGATGTTTGGTGGGGTCAGACAGATTGTACTGTAGGAGGCTCATAAGTCTCGCATCTCTATTTACCCAGGGACCACCAAGATGTACTAAGATATGAGAGTGAATTATTGGTGGTCATCCATGAAGAGAGAGATCACATGGTACGTCGAGAGGTGCATGACCTGCAGGATAGTCAAGGCCAAGCATCAGAGGCCACATGGAAAGTTGTAGCCTTTGGAGGTCCCCATGTGGACATGGGAGCAGATCACGATGGATTTTATTACCAAGCTGCCGAGAACAACAAAGGCTTTCAACGCTATTTGGGTCATTATGGATCGATTGACAACGAGTGCTCATTTTCTGCCCATTCGGGAGAGCACATCGGCCGAGAAGCTGGCTGATATGTATATCCACGAGATCGTTGCTTGCCAGGGGTACCGGTCTTTATTGTCTCAGACTGTAATGTTCGATTCACCTCCAAATTATGGTAGAGGTTCAACGAGGAACTGGGTACCTGTCTGCATTTCAGTACAAGTTATCATCCACAAACAGACATCCAGAGTGAACGGACCATACAGAACCTAGAGGATATGCTACGGGCCTGCATTATTGACTTTAGTGCGAGCTGAGACTCCTACCTACCTCTTGCAGAGTTCTACTACAACAACAACTTTCATTCCAGTATTGGTGCTCCACCATTTGAGTTGTTGTATGGACGGAGATGGCATACCCCAGTCTGTTTGGGTGAGGTTGGTCAAAGGGTGATGATTCGGACCGCGGTATTTCAACAGACTACCAAGAGGATTCGGCATATTAGGTAGCGATTGCAGATTTCTCAGAGTCGGCAGAACAGTTACACCGATCGGCGCCGATCTGAGTTGGAGTTTCAGGTTGGTGACATGGTACTATTGAAGACCTCACCCTGGAAAGGTGTGATTCTCTTTAGAAAGAGGGGGAAGTTGGTTCCCCGATACATTGGACCCTTTCAGGTTATTTCTAGGGTTGGCAAGGTGTCATATAGACTAGATCTCCCAGAGGATCGCAGTCAGATTCACATCACTTTTCACGTCTCGCAATTACGAAAGTGCATACCGGATGAGGAGGCAGAAGTGTCGTTAGAAGATATTCAGTTCAATGAGCGTCTGAATTATGTGGAGAGGCCAGTGGCCGTTTTGGAGAGGAAAGTGAAGGTCCTTTGGAACAAGGAAGTATGTTTGGTAAAGGTAAAATGGGAGCACCGGAGGGGATCCGAATGGACTTGGGAACCGAAAGCAGAGATGTGGGAGAATTATTCGGAGTTATTCACCACACCAGGCTTCGAGGACGAAGCCAACTTTAAGTGGGGAGAATTGTAACATCCTGACATCCAAGTGTGAAATTTTAACGATTTTTGCTCATTACATAAGACCAATTCAATGAGTTGGAGGCCCCAACTTGTTGTGTAGAAACTAATAAAGCCGCATGGATTTTGGAACCTACTCGACGAGTTGGAGGACCCCAACTCGATGAGTTGGAGCTGAATGGGAAAACCCTAATTTTTAGTGTTTGCACCCTATTTTAAGGACTTAACCCGCATTCTTTGGCCTCCCTTATCACCTCATTGCCCAGAGAAGGAAACCCTAGCCATGCTTTACAACTTCCTTGAGTGTGTGAGCTTAGAAAGTCATTTTTGTTCTCTTTTGGAAGGATTTTGAAGTTTTATGAGGTGTGGGTAAAGGGAGAAGCAGTAGATCTGACATCTACTTGGTTTTGGCATCCATTTGGAGGTAAAAAGTCTTTACCTTTATCTCTTATTGCTTAGATCTTCACTTATGCAAGAATATGGTCATTTCTAGTGCAAAACGGAGTCACTCTCGGGTTTAAGCTTATCATGAGGACATGGTCTCAGATCTGGACTCCTGTAGGCCCCCATGGACATAAAGTTGTCGACTTTATCTAGTCTTGGCCCTCCACCATGCCCTAAACCTCTTATTAAGCTTAGTTTTAGTGTTTTGATCCCTTTGAGGCCTTGCATCAATGTAAAGTTAGCAACTTTACATGGTATCTTAGTCCTAAGAGACTATATCTGTAGTTCGGGGCCTTGGATTTTACTGGAAAAGGCTGGGAAGAACTTGATGAATTACTTAGCCAACTCAACGTGTTGGATAGGTTTTACCCGCCTTTTGGATACTGAGTGAACTTGGAGAGTGGGTGAGATGACTTGGTGAGTTGATTAGGGTTTTCCCGATCTTCTAAACATTGAAGAACTCAGCGAGTTGTCTCAAGCTTTTCACGACCTTCTGAGATATAAAGGAACTCGGCGAGTCAATAGATGAACTTGACGAGTTGGGTCAACATAGACTGTTGACCTTGACCGTTGACTTTAACTTTGACCATGGTTGACCAAGTTTGACTTCTAAGGTTATTTTGGAAATTTGGGATTCTAATGGAATCAGTCATATGGTGGTTATAGGCAGTTGAGTTTGGAGTTGTGATTTAGGATTCGATTTATTAGTTCAGCACTACTTGTGATGTGAGTTTTCCATACTATACTAATAGGGTCGAAGGCACCAATGCCGACCCTTTTGGATTGTTATCCTGGTTATTGCATGATGATATGCTTAGTGGTTTGTTAGATCTGTATCCTGGTATATAGGATGATGCTATGTTCAGTGACCTGTTAGGTCGGTATCCTGGTATATAGGATGATGCTACAATTAGTGATATGTTAGATCGGTCTGACTGTTGGTACATGCTAGTGTTGATATCTATGTGTTGATTGTATGTTTTGGGGGGGGGGGGGGTGATGCGGTCCTGCTTTGTGTTGTAGGCCAACATACCCAGGGCGGCCCGGATAGATCGAAGTCCCAACGGAGCATACCAGGCAGAAGGCCCGGAAAACAGTCCAGACAGGCTGAAAACTCGGTAGAGCGGACCAAACACGCTGAAGGTTCTGAGAGTGGGCCAGACAGACTGAAGGCCCGGTTAGGGCGGTCCAGTTATACTGTAGACTCTATATGCATGCTGTTTGTTATGATATTGCTATTATTTGTATGGCGTTGGTATTTTGGGGTAAACTCACTAGGCTTCAGGCTTACAGTTTTGGATTTTGTTTCAGGTACTTCGGATGATCTCGGGAAGGTGAAGGCTTGATCGTGCATCTCCTCACATTTTATGATTTTGATTTTTGAGATACTCTGATATGAAACTATTTTAAAAGAATTTTGTAATAAGTAATGGTTTTTTGATGCTTGAAAAAGTTTTAAATTTTTATAAATTTTATGCATGTTAAAATATAGGTAAACAAAGTCTGGATCCAAAAGCTCCAAGTCAAGCATTGACTCTTCAAGAAGTTCCTTCTTCCTCCTCAAGCCCCAAAAACACACATAAATCACTTTGAAGCTCAAGAATCACTCAAATAGGGCTAAGGGTCCATTTCTAAGGTTTTGAGGGGTGGAGGTTGAAGATATTCGGGTTAGGTAATGAGATAGGGAGCTTAAATAGGGTCCACGACCCTAAAATAGGGTTTGGGTATGACCGCAGTACGCCCAACGTACATATGGTACGCCCATCGTACTCCGTAGAGCACCCGTGACCATCCTGATCAGTACGCCCAGTGTACGCCGAAGTACACCCCACGTATTGCCCTTTTCACAAGTACGCTACGCGTACACCTATGTACGCCCCACATACTCAGCTAAACCCTAAAACCATCAAACTTCCGATGGCCATAACTTCTTCGTTATAAGTCCGTTTCCGACGATCCTTATATCCATGGAAAGGTAACGAGAAGCCTAAACTTTTATCAACTCATACCATCCTTAATACCTTTCGAACAAAAATACAATTTCCATAAAAGCCCAAACTAACACTTTACCAAAATACCCCTAGGCTCCAAAACAAAAACCGAACTCCTAGATCACTTCAATTACATTACTCGCACCCAAATGGGTCTAGATCTCACATTTTCAATGGCCCTAAGCCTTATGATGATCGATCTTCGGGTCACAGCCTCGAATTAGGAATCAATTTGGAACAGGCGTTACAAAATTTCTTAGAATAATTAAGTTTTAAAATAGTTTTATTAGAAATTTAGTGTCCCTGCTTAATCCCCACCAAACCGATTAATCGTTTGACCCCAGTCAACCGTCGAGCTACCGTTGAACGATTTTTACTACATTAGATAATAATCATAGTCGTACGTCGTTCCATTTACTTGAAATGGACAATCAGGTGCAAACCATCACAAAAACCATTAAATATAGGTGGCATGTCTAAAACATTCATGTCATTGTTTGACCCGGGGGTACCAAAATAAGAATGTCAAATCTAAAGATCTTGTGATGCAACAACCTTAAGTATGATTGTGGGGTGACCCTTATCACTGCGTATAAATTGCCCTTTCCATGCATTAGGACAACTACCCCATGCCAATGAAGACAATCAAAACTTCTAAGCATCTTAGTAAATCCATGGACATTTACATGATGAGCATATAAGTGATTGAATGTCGGTAAAAATAGGCTTACGTAAATACATTGGACTGTAAATTGTGACTACACATCTACAACACTCCTCCAAGCTTTTCCTTGCTACGCACTCATACATTTGAAAATATTACTCCCATGAATCAGAAATGGAATCTTACACTAATTGGCGAACTGCAACTGCATATTTATGTATTTATGAAAACCCATTCGCGCCTCTTGCATCTTGACATTGTCAGATAAAATCAAATTGTTAGTAACATCGCCTACTCTACGAAGAAATTTATGTTTCGTCATTCGAAATCTTCGTCGAAAGAGGTGTTCCCCGTAAACAGAGTTGTCGTTGAAGTAGTTTGCCATTAAACAATTGTTTGCATCCCACTGATCTTTGAGAAGCATCTTATGCGTCCTAGATTCACTTAATTCTTCTTCTTCTTCTATAACCATTTCCATTGATTTCGCGATAGTCTGACAAGTGGTTAGCAACAAATTACAATTTTGTAACGGATTTACCATTTTGTTAGAAAACTTTTAAGGAATATAAAAGGAAGGAAATGTGTATGAAGATGGGTATATATATATATATATATATATATATATATATATATATTATTTATTACTTATTATTAAAAGAAAATGGTAATTATCTTAGTGGGTCCTACACAACATCCTATCCCTTCCCTTGTCTTCTCTCTCCCGTCAAACCCAAACCCACATATCTTTTTGGGTAAATTACATCAATTGTCCCTCGTACATATGCCGAAAAGCACGTTCAGTTCCTATTTTTAAAATTAACTCGGATCGTCCCTCGTTTGGTTTAAACTTGCACGATTGATCCCTCGTTAGTTTAAATCTGCACAATTCATCATTTTCCTCACATAAAATGACTATATTGCCCTTATTGGTTTATTTTGTATTAATAAGAAAAACAAAAAATAAATTTTAATCCTTTATTTTTACATTTATTAATAATTTCTAAACATTTAAACCTATCACCCCCATCCCATTTACCAACAAATACCCTAAGTCTTCAATCCCTCTCTTCATCGTCCCTCACCTTCATTTGAAACTAAAATCTGGCCACCGGGGATACAACGATCGCCGAAAACCCGCTTGATCGCCACCACATATCACCACCTCACTTTCTTGCTCTATTGATGTCAAAAATAACATCACCACCGGCGACTGTTGATTTAACACATCCGTCATCGACCTTCTTCCTCCTCCCTCTCTTGATTTTTCTGCTACCAAAATCTCCGCCACATTCCGCCCAATCTTCTTCAGATACTCAGATTTCTGCTCTTCCGTATACCTAATTCCACTGCTAACAAGCACCACTTTCTCCACCATCTTCTCCTCCATATCCGCCATCTAGTACACCACAAACCTCTGTAACTAATTAGATACACCAAAAATCTATTAAACCCTAATTTCTTCATGCCGTCACACACGCATTTCACCTAAAACACCTCTGTAAGCTCCGTCCTTATCGAATACGATTTGGTGAAAACACCAGATCTGGTATGGTGAAATTTTATATCAGTAGAGATACCTACACTATGAATTTCTACTTGAGTTACCTCTATAGCCATGGATGAGAACAAGGTTTGGTTTGTTCCAGTGGTGATGGTTTGTCGCTCCTGTGTGGTTGTCCTCCCCTTTTTCTTCTTCTCCGATAAGCTTTCTATGTCCCCACTTTAGATCATCTTGCAATTCTTCTCCAGTGATATGGGTCCCAAATCAACTGGAAATAAAATGCACAGAGGAAAACAAAACATCGGTATATAAGTCGTCCCTCTCTGACCCTTGTGACCTAAACAAGTAAAACCTAGTAGCAAGTTGCAGATTAACCCTCGCATCTTCATCGTTTCTGGTTTCAAGTTGTTGATTTGTTAAGTTGCAGGATTTTTTGGTTTCAAACAATTGAATTTCTCTTTTTTTATGGTTTATTTTCCTTTAAGGTATGACGATTGATGTTGACGGTGATGTCGGTGATTGGTGTTGGTGGTGATGGTGGAGATTAGACAGAATGAAGAAGAATGGGGGAAGAGATAGGTTATGAAGGTGATTCGTTTTAGGGTCCATTTCTTTTCTTAAAGGATGTAAATAATTATTTTTTATAATAAAAAAATCAATAAATAAATAAATAATAACAAATAAATATAAAATAAATCAAAAAATAAATAAATAAGGGTAAAATGGTCTTTTTATATGTTCAAGGACTAAGCGTGCAAGAAAAAACACACTGAGGGACGGTCTGGATTAATTTTTGAAAATAAGGACTGAACTTGCTTTTTGGCATATGCACGAGGACGATCTTTCTTTTTCTTTCTTGTTCTCCTTACTCTCTTCGATCGACAACAACCCTCTTATTGCCGCCCACTTGTTGTCAGCGATGCTACAACCTGAGAGAAGGTCATCGGTGAGACCGTCGCCTCATTATCGTGACCTTGTTAACCCTAACGTTCTTCCCTCTTTATTGGATCAAAAACACCTGTGAAACTCCTCCTCTACTGCCACCGACGTTCATTGACCCCCTCTACCACCCTACCTCCCTTATCTTTGAAACCCCTTATCCTTTGTTCCAAACTCCAACCGTGTCCTTTCTCATCTACTACCGGTAACCTAAACACACATGAAAACCCCATCGAAACAATCAATTTTCTTGTTTCGGACTTCTAACTTGGGGGGTATGTAGCTCGTCAGTGAATATGGAGAGGGTGGATTCAGGAATCCCTATTCTCTATTATATCCTTTTCTTTACTTCAGGTTTGATGTCGCCTTAGCTCTTGAATAAATCACTGTTCTTACTGGGTTGAACCCACAATCGAAGCCATTGAAGTTGCAGGTTTTTCACCATCGTGTTAGGATTCGGTGTTGTCGACGATTTTGACCCCACTTGGCTTAACTTCTGTATGTAGGATTCAGATCTTTTGTGTTCAAGTAAAAGTCATCGAATACATCATAAATGGGTTCGATTGGTACGGTGGTGATTGGGAGGGGATTGTTTTTTAGATGTAGACGTTACCGGTTAATTTCCTAGGTAAATGTTGTTCCACCATTGTTAATGTGGCCAAATGTAGATGTTGTTCGCTGGAAATGTGCTTACAGACAAGGATTATAAGTTTTCTTCGGTGAATAAATTCTTGGGTGGTAAGAGAGAATAAATTCTTGTATTTTGTTGTGGTATTGTCAAAGAAGAAGATGATAGAGTTGAGGTAAGGAAAGGAAGAAGAGTTCAAAAAGAAGGGTGGGTTTGGTGGAATAAGAATGAGATGGTTGAACCCAGTTGATTATCAAAGATTTTTTTAATAAATAAATAGTCAGTAAACATTAAACTAATTAAAAAAGAAATATGCATGGTAATGTAGGTTTTTTTTTTTTTTTCATGTGGTAGGACCAAACGTGTTACAAAAAAATTATAATAGAAACTATTCTAGTTAAAAAAAAAAAAAAAAAAATTGTTAGGAACCAAACGTGTAAATTATCCCAAATCACAGGGACCATTCGTGTAATTTACCCAATCTAAAATATAAAAACTTTACTATTAATAAGTCATTTGTATTCCGTATATAATATAATTATAGCTAGTGTATTATTTAGGTTATTAGTTTTTTTAAGTCGGATGTACCCGAAATTTTTTATACCTACCTGATACCTGAAGTAATTAAATATCAGATTAACCGATTACCTGAAACCCAAATTACCCAACCCAAACTACTCGAATTGAAAACAAGCTGATTATTTTAATTGGGTATTAGTTAGCTATTTGTTTCTATCGTACCAATCAAACACAGTGTTGTCGTACAAATAACAAGCAGGAATGACAACTGATAACACGACATGACAAAATTGAAACAAAATAAAATTCGAATTCGTGTTTGTGTCGTGTCAAGTATAAAAAGCACAACGTCGTGTCATATCGTGTTTGTGTTCAAAATTTAACACGAAATTAACATGATTAACATTTGTTTTCATGTATTTCGTGTTTATCGTGTTATGTATGATTAATTATTAATTAATTAAACTAATTGTTATTTTACGTTATCTTTTTGTGTCATGTTGTGTTGCTTTTTTTTTTTTTGTTAATTTAAAAAGCATGACATCATTTCGTGTTCATGTTAAATAAAAATTTGTTATGTCGTGTCAAACAAAAACACGAAATGGTAACACACTTTGTCACCCCAATAAGCACACATAGCCTTTTTATTTGTGAAATAAGATGTTCTTGATAACAATGATATATTAAAAAAAATTAAAAATTAAAAAAACAAAAAAAAAAAAAAAAAAAAAAAAAAAAGGCAAAAGGAAAACTTAGTTTGTTGCCTTCTAGTGACTTGTTCTTTAACATTTACTTAGTTGAAGAGTGTTTTTTAAACGTTTTAAAAAGTTGATTACCTTTTTTATGACACTAACCCAATAATTTTAATACATAACCAAACTCCATATATTAAACACAAAAACTTATACTCCTTCCTTCCGTCCCAAAAATAGTCACAAATAAAAAACATAATTACCACTAAGTTTAGATAATAAAATGATAATTTTATCATTACTTTGCATTTAATGTTCCATTAAATGCTTAGTTTGTTAAGTAAAAATGAGAGGTTATTTCGGTAAAAATATTATTTATTTTTAAAAGTAGACTATTATTTTGGGATAAACTAAAAAGGAAAGATGGACTATAATAGGGAATATTAATCTTTGGACTAATTAAAGTCTTGTTATTTTAATTTCATGAGTGACAAAAGAGAGTAAAGCCTCATATCAAAGGAGCATTAATAGAACCTCACCATACAATAACTTGATACATAACTAGATGAGGAATCCCGCAACGGATATGCAAACTTTTGTTGGTCAATTGTCACAGCTTTTTCTCTTCCGATACATATAAAATCAAGGACCTTTAAGTTGTAGTTGATGGTTTAGATTCAATTTTTAAACAATTGATTGTAAGTCGATGAATTATTTTGTTATAGATATTCAAAAGTTATGTAGTTGTAAACACATGAATGTTGAAGTTTTGGAGAATATGCAAGTAATTTATTACTTTGAAACCTTTTTTACAAAAGAAGATTTTACAAACATGAACAAATGCATAATTAATCAATTAATGATTCAATTAAAAATCAAAGACAAAATCTATTTTGTTTTGTTGCTCTCATGCTCTAGGATCTGTTAAGTACCTCATGCATGTGCCATAAAGAAGCATCCCATACAACTCCATGCGTTCACCTCGCCCAGGTCCTACGTATGTACACTCTTCTTTGGGAGCCTGGTTTTTTTCAGTTCCCATTCATCTGTGAAAATAAATAATATAAAAAAAAAAAAAAAAAACATACTTTTTGTCAGTAAGCAGGTTACCAAAATAGCTTAATGCAAGAAAAAACAATGTACTTTAATTAATTTTTTATAGCTTCCTACTTTCATTTGTTCCCATTGAAAGGAGCTGAAAAAGAAGACAACGGGAGTTTTATTATCGAAGGAAGTAAGACTATAAAATATTTTATATTTTAATATAGAAAAAATAAGTGTATTCATAATTTGTTGTTCAAACCTTATGGCCCATTAGGAGGACGTTTTAAGATATATTCCAATGTAAGAATCTTCCCTTTCTCAGACTTTCTAATACTTACCTTGAGAAGCTTTCATAATGTTGGAATCTTAATGAACTCCCATCTGTAATGTCTCATTAGGTTGTGTAACATTTGTAAATCTGTAAATTCAATAAATAAAAACAAAACAAAATAGTGAGGATTGTAATCGTTAATAAGAATCGCATAAGCATCTGTATTAAAAAAAAACACATTACGATTCTCATTAAGGAAGTGGGTATTCTTGTTTCTTCATGACTTAGAAGTGCATTGAAGATCATAGAAAGGCATCGATTACTGAAAAAGTTATATTAAGATAGAATTGGTATTTCTTTTTCTAAATATGTTATATCATAATAAAAATGTTGAAAATAACCTTTAAATTCCTTCACCATTGCCATTATGAGCAGTTAGACAAAAAAGCTTCAAATGGCCTTACGAAGCATCCTTCAAGATTAAACATAAATAAAAAATCAAAATATTTACACAAAGTATAGTTCTAACAAATTTTAACCCTTATCAATGATATACAATCATCGTAAGTATGATCATTTCTTTTAACTTAAACTAATAACCAATTGAAAGATATTGCTTTGGAATGCATTAGATATAGCTTTGAAAATAGAATCTAACCTTAATGTAGGGTGTTATTGAATTGGGTCCTTTGAGAATAGTGAGAGGTATGAGGGATGCAACTATATATCTTCAACTTCTTCATTCAGAAAAACAATTTTTTCTTGGTTGATGTTGGTTATCTATGGTGAGAAGGATCTTTCCAAACTAATTGATTTTAAAGTTATGGCTTATAACAGGTTCATCATTTGAACTTATCTACCTTTCTTTCTATAATCATGGTGTAATTATTTTCATTCTAAGGCGCATATGTTCAACACAATAGCTCACTTCCCATCCAACTACTTATAACTCCCAAACAAAAGTACATCTCCGCAGGAAAAAAAAAATCGTTTTACTAACCAAAAACATGGTATTTTTCAAAGGGTAAAAGCGTAATTTTACCTAGTTTATGATAATCTCTATGGTTTGTTTGGTGCATGGCTTAACAACAACAACAACAACTGGATCATGTGTTCATCCTAAACTGTAAGCAAGCATTTCAATAGGGTACCTTCCTTAAAATTGAGGACTTGCCCATTATAAGGGAGGCCAACACAGATGTAACATGATGAGAAGAATCTGAAGACAACTCCTACACATGACATATCATTGTGAGAAAAAGTTGAATAACCATATTTTTTTAAGTTAAAAAAAAAAAAAAAAAAAAAAAAAAAAAAAAAAAAAACAGAAACAAACAAACATAGCTTCACACATGGAAGAATGTGCTGAGTTATAATAATTAAAAACAGATAAGAATTAACCTAAACTCCACTTCCGAATCTCATTCTGAAGTGAAGAAAACATTATTACAATTACAATCTAATTATATAAAATAATAAAATATGACAATAAATTTATAAAATTTTACCTTCCCAGTTACCATTACGTACAAGAGTATTCCAACACTCTATCATTCTGCATTTTTATTATGGACTTTAGAAAGTAATATTTGAGGAGTCGTGTATTATGTGGTCCCCCACATTGAATTTGGTCTGCTTCATTCGTTAATTTCCTTTTCCAGACCAAAATCAGTCAGCATAACCTAAAAAACAACATCATCATGAATTATTTTTAATTTAAGGAAATTCATTAATTAAGGGTAATGATAGAAAACAGATGAACTGGATCAAGTTTAAGGGTTTTAGTTGGAATCGAAATTCAATACCATTCCATACCGGTATTTGGTTGCAAATGAGTACAGAATTAACTTTTCTTAAAGTCACGGAATTCAATTCCAATAGTCCCTCCAACTGTTCCAACCTGAATAAGATAATGAAAAAAGTGATCTTTCTTGTTTAATTGAAGAAACGTTAATCAATATCATATAAACCGAATTTGTGAACGAAAAACCTTTTAGCTGGTGCCATCACTCTTTTGAGATAGTGTTGAAAGTTGTATATGTCAATAAACATAAGAAACAAAGTGAAATTCGTCCAATTTAAGGCCTAGTTTCAAGTAAAGCCAAGGTAATATACCTTGACTGCACGACGATGGTAGGGCCGACCAAAGTAGTTTTTTTTTTCCAATACAACAGGAGAAGGACAGAATAATTTACAATTTTTGTGGCTTGTCAACGGCTTTCGATTCCATGGGAGTTTCACCTCATTGCTTCCTTCTCCCTCCGACAAAAACTTCCCGGAGAACTTTGAGTCTTTCATGGAAAACTTACCTGAATCGGAAACACCTTTCGATGTGTTTGTTTCAACCTGCGACATCGGCGGAGTAGACGTTGGGGATCTGAGGGAGCGTATGGAAGACTATGTCGGACGGGTGAAAGAGATGAGGATACTGGATAAGAAGGAGGTGGAGAAAGAAAGGGAAGAATCGATTTTGTGTTTAGATTTTTCTGGAGTGGTCTCATGAGCAAAACTGGGAGGAGTCGGTGAGGGATAGGAAAGAATGGGTGAGAAACACTTCTGATTAGAAGCGGGGGAGGTGGAAGAGGGTGACACAACACGTGTCGATGACACTAATCCAAGACATTGACCGCTCATTGACCGGCGATTAAAATAGCCAACCTTTCAATCTGTTGCGGGCTTATTTCAATAAATAGGTGGACCAATTCCGATTTACAGCAAATGAAAGGGACCAATTTTGCCAATCCCTTAGCAACTTTACTATAGCTATGGGTGGAAAATTTTAATCTATATTATAATTAGATGGTTTCAGAAGAAGAAAAAAAAAAAATTAATAGAAACGAAATTAGTTATTTATTTATTTATTTTTATTTTTTTTTTTCTTCTAGTGATTGATATATAATGAATTGCGAAATCTAGTTGACATTTCTTGTTCAATTTATAGTATTTTTTTTTTTTTTTGAACAAAAAATTATTAAAACAAATAGTAAGATGCAAGTTTGAACAAATTATAAGAAAGAGATTGTTGTACACCCAACTGGCTCAATTTATATCACAAATTCACAACTTGTGCTCATATTAAGATACCAAAACTAAGATCAAGTAACAATCTTATAAAATAACTCAAACTATGTTTTGCTGCTCATAAATAGTAATGTTATGACAGTCCCCATTCCCCAATAGTTCATATGACCAAAATAAATAATAATCACATTAAAACACTTGCGTTGGTAATATTGAAATTATAAGAGTCTGCCCAATTGATCATAACTTCAACCTAGTTATAACTGGAATAGTCACATCCCACCATTTACTACATTGCAACCAAATGGACTCGACCAAATTACTACATTTGAAAGCACGTCAACCCCTTTATCCACCGAATTTAATGTTCGTAGGCATTCAATTTAAACTCATCCTCCAAGCCATAACAGTGAGTTTAATAGGAATGAAATTGTTCTATTTCGTGGGGTTGCTCCCCGTCCCCAAGGTGGTATCATTTTAAAAAACTTTGGCAAAAGACATCAAATAAAGACAAACTATATCTAAACTCCAAATCCACCATTCTCGTTGATCTAAGACAACAAATAAATGCAACAAAAGATTGTAAATCGTCCCAATGTTCGATACCCCATATAAGATTTATGTGCAAAAGAGAAAACCAATCAACACAATTGATTCGGTCATACCATAGTTGTCAAAATCGCGATCCTGACCGTAGGATCGTACGATCCTACGATCATAGATATGAAAAACGATCTGAATCGTAAAAGGATCGTATTTGGGGTAGGATCACAGGTAAGATCGCAAGATCGTAGGTAGGATCGTAGGATCGAGATCCGATCCGATCCTACCTTCCTTTGATTTTTTTTTTTTTTTTTTTTTTTTTTGCAAATGAAATTTTTTTTACCACTTTATGCCTTTTATCCTTTACCAATCTATCACTTATCATTTTTTATTGTGACTTATGACTAATATTTTGAAGTTTTTATAACTTTTGAACGAAAAACTAAATGTTTGAAATAGTTTTCATGATTAAATATGATAAATTAAAATTATATTCTATTTTGTGGGATCTTAGGATCTCGATCCCGATTTTGCAAACCCAAAATCGATCCTAGGTAGGATCCCGATCTTGACAACCTTAGGTCATACAACAAGCATGACTTATTCTCTTATAATGTAAAAATTCGCCAAAAGCCTTGCTTCAAAGAAACAAATCCCAACCAACAATCTGTATGAGTAACCCATCGAATTGGTGGCCAAGCAATCCTCTTAGACCGTAAAAAAACCTTTACGGCTTAAACCCAAAGTGAAATTTCGTCAATAAGAAATCTCCAAACCCAAAGTGAGGACCGTAAAAAGCTAAGCAATCCTCTTGACCGTAAATAACATTTATACCACCAACTTTCTTATTATCCATAAATTTTTTCCAAAGTTGTAAAAAACGTTCGACGTTAGCTAGTCGGTGGACTGAGATTAAAGGATTAATCGGTTAGAAGACAATTAATCGGGGACCATAAATTATTAATTCTTAGAATTTTCAAAAAATAAATATGACTAATATCATAACAAAATTCGTAAATATCACTAATAGTCTAATATCATAACAAAATAGGTTAATATGATTAATACAATGTTAACCAATTCTCAAATAGTTTTATCAAGATAAAACTTCTTCAAAGTGTTAAATTTTCATCGTTTGTTATTGCTTCGCTCATTTTATAGGCAGTGATTAATCACTAGGCGTCTTCTAGTCGATCGGGTAGCGCCTTAGGGACTAATCAAAGATTAATAACACTATTTTTTCTGCCAAATCCAAACAATTTTTTTTCTCTTTTAAATAGCCCTCTGAAAATGATTTCTCAAGGCTTCCCTTGTTTTTAAAATCGTTTCAGGGACTTTAAAAATAAAAAGATATGGTAAACTCCTAACTTTTTGAAATCAACTTTAACAATGATAGTTTTCCATCAATTTATCAATTGAGAGGGCCTTGGATTTCCATGTGAATAATTTTATAATGAACTTCTCAATAACTCCTTTCCAACTTTCAATATGACTCATGTTTACTTGTAAACCAAAGTGTATAAAAGGAAACTACATCCCCGAACAACCAATAATACTCACATAGTCTTCCATTTCTTGAAAAACCCTCTCACACCGATCAAATTACTTTTTGTAAGTTGATTTTTCTCTCGAACACCATAAACATGCATCCACAAATATAGATCATGGCTCTCACGATTTCAAGAGACCACAGACTGTTTGATATAGCATCATCAATGTAAAAATTTGAGAAACCTTTGAGCTTTTATCTCCAACATTGAAGAGCCTCCATTCCAGAACACAATTTTTTGGAAATGGCTTCATTAATAGCAACAAAAGTTCTTCCATGACAATAACACATTAAAGAGACAATAAGAGGCCAGCTTGTTGTTAGCCTCTCTTGATTGTAAACTCTATCGTAGAGTCATTAGTCAAAAGAGAAGCAAAAAAAGAACTAAGAGGTGTCATAACCCACCCTCTTGTCTAAAGCTCATCTTGTCTAAAACTTCAATAAGAAAATCATAATATACAAAAAATAATAAGAAACACATGCTTTCTCGAAATCAATATCGAACACCATCAATTAATCCCAATGTAATTTATATGATCCGATAATCTTGTTAAATATTGAAGGACCTGTAAGATTTGACGACCTTTAATAAAAGCCGGTTGATTGTTCAATGCCCGCATCATTGATAACCTATTAAAGATGATTCACCAAGTTTTTTGACAAATAACTTTTATATTGACACCTGGTAAGACTAATAGCCCTATCAACTTTTCAAAAACGGATCTTTGATTTTGGGTATAAACACAATAAACAAAGGATTACACCTTGTAAAAATAACACTAAATTCTTGAAATTGAGTCACAAGTTTCACATCATCTCTACAAAAGTACAAAGTCCCAAAAACTCTTAGGATTTAGAGTATAAATTACTAAATTTTCCTTCACGTTCTTTTTCTTTTCTGAACAAAAAAAAAAAAAAAAAAAAAAAAAAAAAAAACTCTCCTAATAATTTTCCGATTAAATCCTTCCCCACCCGGGCCCAACATTCCTAAATCACTAAATGGGCCTCTCCTAATAATTTATGCCTTGAAAGGTTTGGCAGTCCAGTAGTTCACTAGTTCTCATTCAGAACATTTTGACCATCTCTACGAGACTACAAATGTAGCATTATGACTTATGACGCATGAGTTATTAACTTATTATGAAGGTCTAACCTTTCAATATTTATCTATTTAAAAACGTTTACCCATACACAATATATGAAATACCTATACCAGAAATGACCATCTGCACTGGAATTTAATGAACATTTAATTTCTTAATTGCTTTCAAATAGCACTGCATGGCATTATTGCCAGTTAAAACATTTGTCAAAGGGAAATGAATAATGGACCTCAATTGCAGCTGCTTCGTAACTTCAACTAGTGGAATGTTGACTTTTCTAATTGTTATGATTGAATTTTAGTCCTGTAATCCAAATTATATGTAAATAAATGTATTTTAGTCTATTTTTATTTAAAATAAAATTTAAAAACTCGATGATTAAGGGTCTATGTATAAGATCACTAGGTGTAAGACTCATTTATTACATGGGTTTAATTAAAAAAAATTAAATATGAAATTTTAACAATTTGAAAATTTTAAATTTATAAGAAAAATGAAAAAAAAATGAATTATTAAAATTAATGAGGTTTTAATGTATTGAATACATTACATATATAAACCTTTTTTTAATAAATACCTTACATATATATTATCTTACATATTAAATATGGAATTTTAATTTAATAAAATTAAAAATACAATACAATGACAAGTGGAAAATAAAAAATTTAAAAATTTTAGAAAATGTTATGTGTCCAAATGAAGGAGAAGAGGACATGTGGCAAAAAAAACTTTCATTTATTAGAGTAGATTTCTAATAGAAGTTTATTTTGTACTTTGACAAAATTGCAAAAATGGTCCCTATAATTGTCAAAATTATAGGGTTTTGGTTCAAAAAGTTTGATGGTGCATTAGTGATCAAATTTTGGATCTTTTTAGTGATTTAGTTCCTACATACTTAAAAAGACCAATATACCCTTATAATTTATATTTTCTATTTTTTTTAGTTGCTAAAATATATAAATTAATTTGAATTTTTTGTAACTTAAAGCAAAAAACAAATAAAAGAAAATAACCCAAACCCTCTCATCTTTATAGGAGGAGAGATACCCCTTTATCACCAGCTCCACCATCCATAGTGATCGAAACCACCGCCGTCGACCGCCATTCTTGATGGAGTTCCGTTGTGCTTATTCCCCTTATCTCTTTTTCATGTATGCACTATTTCCCCATCCATTTACATTTCTTTTTCCCTAAGATAGTTGTTCATCTTCTCAGTCTCTCAACATTCTATCAAAACTCACCGGAAACCTCTCAAATCAACCACCTTTCTTTACTGGAAGATTGCTTATTCACTGGAGTACAACCCTCATTCACATACTCGAAGTCTATTGGAACCCTAACACGAATCTGATTCGTTTGACTAACGCGTCAAATTGCTTCGTCATCACAACTCTAACCTTTGTGTGCCACCATCT